GATATTTATACTAGTTATACTAGTTATATTCATTTACTAATGATGACCTGGATGAACTTAGAATGTAAATCTGTCAACATTACGATTTAACTAACTAATATCATTGCAGAATTTTGATTGTTTCTAATTGCTATCTTCATTGTTTTTTTTTGAAAAAAAATAATGTTCCATAGAAATTATTTGTTTGATTAACAAAAAAAAAACAGTCAGTGACGGACGAGAAAACACTCGCCGTTAACAATCAGCTTCATGCGTTTTATATAACTTAAAAAAACAAACGTCTTTAGAGCAAAACGATTTCTATCATTGTACACACACAATTTCGTCTAATCGAAGACACGTGTAGAAATTGACATTCCAAGATAAACAGTAGAAAATATAAAAAAGCAACAACAACACGTGAATACACAAATTAGAAACAAATTCACATTTTTTTTCTTCTCATCTTATTCCTTCCTTCGTTATCAGTCATTAACAACAAACGAGACGGACTAACTGACTGTATCATCCAATTTGTGTGTGTATAACAACTAACAAACAGTTTAAATAAAAAGTCATTAGAGTTAGTTGTCTAACATAATTCAATGTTCTATGGTACTTATTTTTGAAGAAGAAAAATTAATCTGAATCATAAGTTTTATATAAGTGTATCCTACTTCTTGTTTCAATGTTTTTGAGTCATAGATTCATGTTTGATTATATTGCTAGTGGAAGAGAATTAGTTAATGGAGAGATTAGACATTTTTGAGGTCATTCACTTAGATACTAAGAGATAGTAATGATAATAATAATACGAGCAATGTGATATTAGTTATCTCTGAGCAGCAAAACCTTCTCTTGATTGATGATTATTTACCCAAGAAGTTAGTGTGTGTATGCACGTGTGTGTGTGTGTGTGTGTGTGCATGTGTGTGTGTTGGGGCACTACACTACAAATAAGAAGACGTGTTATCGTACATCAATCAGTATTCGAAGAATGATGATAATTTGTTTACTTTAGTTGTAGGCACGCTGACGCAAAATGTTTACCTTCTAACATTCATTAATGTAAGCGTGTGTTTCTAAACATATAATTATCAGTGATATATATATATATATGTATATATATATATATATATATGTATATATATATATATATGTATATATATATATATATACATGACAACAACAGTCCTTATTTCGTCCTTGTGTAATGATCCTAAATGAAAGAAATTGTAAAACCCTCCTAATCTGAACATACTCTCATTGAATAAATTTTTTTTTCTAATTTTTCAGATTACAAACTTTTTTTAACAAGTGTTCATAACAAACATCCCGTCCATATGATGAACAACTGAAATCAATCACTCACTGACTTCTATTGTCTAATTCGTTAAGTCTAACACTAACAAAGTGTAAGTAGTATAGCAAAATAAAATACAATATTCATCACTACAGTTGTAGTGAAGGAGAAGACAGGTGAGGGCAAACGAATTGTATTTAACGAAAATCATAGAGTTACTCAGTAAAATAGGAAAACCATATCGTAAACGGTTAATTTGCACATCTTCAATCCATTGTCTGACATTTCACTATTCATGCGTTTCATACAAATTCCATTGTGTTCCCACTCTTCCTTTCTTGATCTTCCCCCGTCTTCTGCTGCCAGACATTACGTTTTCACTCGCGTCATATACTACTGATAAGTAGCGTGCACCACACAGTGAATGCACTAAGTTCCCGTGCATTAAAAAATTTCCCAACAAAACTCTCATTGTGAGATTAATTGAGTTAAAATTAATATAAGGCTCTAGATTTTTTTTTCGAATTTAAGCGCGAGAGAGAACATTAAATAAGTGCAAAATTTGACAATGACGCCTTTATTTCCTTAACCAAACGGAATATGTGTAAAGAAATATCAAGTTCCAGATTCATTTAGTCGATTGTGAATGCAAACTATAGTTAATCAACTTCGCAGTCGATTAACACTGCAAAATTAATTTGTTTGATTATCAAATAATGTTACCTCCTTCCTACATGAGTGATTCCTGATACGCGTCAAGGAGACTGTGGTGTGTGCTACGTATAAGTAGAACAATATGAGTAGTATAAGAAAGGACGTGAAAGAAGAAGTCTCACGGTCAGAAGAGGAAAACGGAAAGCAAATGAAGCAAAAGCAAGAAGTAAATGGAGTACCAACAGGAAGTAAAGGAAGCAACAGCAGGAATGGAAGAAGGATGGAGCGTTTGAAGTCACGACTCAAAGATGGTATGCAAATAGAGTGTTCAATGTAATGTTTTCGTTTTTAATTGACTAAGAGTCTTCTCAATACAACATCAGCTGATCAAAACAACAAAAAAGCCTAAATCAGAGTTGTTGTCATTTTCCTATTGTGATCGCGCCAGTCTACCGATCCGATGATGATCGTTAACCAAATGTTGTTACATTGTTACATCAATTATCCTACAATGATGACATTTAGCTAATTTGGCAGAAATTGCTTTATTTTTTTCAAGGTGAATTAATGAAAAATCTATCAATCCTGTTTTTTTTTTAGCCTGTTGGTGTTTTCATGTGATCTCGCCTAAAATGTAAAACCTACGCTGCCTTGCTGATTATGATATTAGTGAAAATTTTATACAGAGACTGATTTTCATGATCAACGGAAGAATTTATTTCTAAAAAGGCTCTTGTTTTGAACTTGGCTTGTATTTTTGTATTGGACAGTTGATATTACCGAAATTTTAGCCTAACTGTGCAGTTTTTTTAAGATGGCGTTTGTTAAACTATTAATTATTAAGAACCGATAAGCTAAAAAATGGTGACCATTGTAAGACTTGCACAAATTTGTTATTGTCTGAAAGTTATGAGAACGAAATTTTTAATGATAGATTTCTTCAGTTAATCATTCTAGTGTTCCACGTTAAAAACAGGTTTGCTCATACATTATGCTCAGCATAAAACCGATTTATACAAGCCAAAACGCATGTGTTTTATCAACCTGTTCGGGTTATACTTACTTACTTTACTTTACTTACGCCTGTTACCCTCAATGGAGCATAGGCCGCCCACCAGTTTTCTTCAACCAACTCTGTCCTGGGCTTCCCTTTCCAGTTCTGTCCAATGTTTGTTCATTCCTCTCATATCTTTCTCTATTTCTCGGCGTAATCTGTTCCTTGGCCTTCCTCTTTTCTTTTTACCTTGAGGATTCCAAGTGAGAGCTTGTCTCGTGACGCAGTTCGGTGCTTTTCGTAGTGTGTGTCCTATCCACTTCCACCACTTCTTCCTGATTTCTTCATCCACTGTAATCTGGTTTGTTCTCTCCCACAGTAAGTTGTTGCTGATGGTGTGTTCGGGTTATACAGTGAAACAGAATTTCGCTTAAATGTTTAGGAACAATTCTTACAATAACGAAAGTGTGTATTCAATGAGTTGTGTCAAAAAACGACGAGAATCAAGCCTCTGCAGTAAATAGCAGACAATGATAAATAGTCTGCTGTCAAGGTTATGTGACACTATAAGATGATCACATTTTACTCGTCATTGTTTTTTTAATTAGAACAATCTCGATCTGATATACTTTCTCAGAGTCTCTGGAAATGCTTTGATAACCTTAGCTGAACGCTTTAAAACAGTTACTGATGTAATTTATATAAATAGTTTATTTATTAGATACTTGTAAACCAAAATTACTTTGAGATGGTGGAGAAGATTTTTACCTCAGGTGGATGATTAAGGTGGTGGTGGTGTTTGGTTCTCTGAGCTGGATGTTTTGGTTGTGGAGCTTTCTATCTGAAGTTCGTGCTGATGATATTGTTCAGAAGAAGAACAATGAAAGCTCCACAACCAAAACACCCAGCTCAGACAACCAAACACCACCACCACACCCAAAATTACTGTTATGCATAGAGAATAAACGAAAACAATGAGAAATATAAACAATTCTTTGTCCAATTATTCAAGTTTGCTTAATTTTTCAAAGGTGCATTGTTATGATTATTATTTGAAACCATGAATCGATCCATGTTAGACCACCATTAGAAACCTGCAAGCACTGGACGACCAAAAGTCCTAGGTTCGGCTCCTTTGAGTTGCAGGAGTCGTGGATGCTCACCGTTGCTGTGTCCCATACTATGAAGGAACGGCCACCCACTGCTTCCAGGTTTCTAACGGTGGTCTAACATTGATGGATTCACAATTTCACAACCCCTTGATGTGTTAATATTATTATATGAAATTATTTCATCAGTTGTTACTCGAATTGTCTACTAATTGGAAAATACTCTACGCAGGTATTGAATTTTCTGCCTTTAATATGTAGTCATTCTCAGAACATCGGTTCTGGATTTTCAGCAGGAAATAATAATAGAAAAGTTGAATGAAAAGTGGAGTTTATTACAGCTATATATATTTTAGAGTATTTTCTTATTAATAAAATGCTGAATAATAATAATAATAAGAGAACGATGTTAAAAAAACAAACGTCACCGACTGTCATGGATACAGGTAAAATTATTTCTGGCGGTTTTTCAAAAAACTAATTTCACACTATTAAAAATGCATTGGTGAGACTTGCTGATGCATTTTGATTTACGCATTATTTTACTGCTCACTTGAATAGTCTAATGAAGGAAATACTGTCCATAAATTTCATTCGATTCAAAAAAACAGCCGGTTGAACTGCATAAAAATATAATGAGTGGGTGGGGGGGCGGTAACAGTTATTTTATCCACCGCATTTACACACAAAGAAAGCGACCAATCAGATTAGAGGATTTATACAACTAAGTGAACCAAGTAAAATGAATGCTCAAACGGCTTTTCTCTCTCCCCCTCCTACCATGAAGACTGATAATAAAATGCTAGGAGAAATATGACTGTGAAAAAAAGTGATGTGATATGATGATGAACATACATGACCTTTTTTTCTTGCCAAAAAAAAATAGAAGACAAAAAAAGTGAGCATCACAATGATTTATGTCACAACGACAATCAAACACATTAAACAAATCCACTAAGGAATGGAAAATCCAGACGTGAAACACACTAATCAGCATAGCTTTCCAAGTGTCAAGTGCATACATCAAAATTCCTCCACGATATTCTACACTCTGGAACATATTCATCAGAATACTTTCAGCCAACAGTCTGATAGCATACAGTCGACAATAAGGAATTCATTTCAAAAGGCAACAACATCCACGTCAGCATTATATACTGCATCACCTGGTCCTCCACATAAACGTGCAGTTGCCAATTTAAGAGAACGTAAACGTATGCGTTTGATTAATCATGCATTCGATGGATTGCAATCGCATTTACCTAAGGAATTATTATATTCGAATGGATTATTCAATAGTATGAATTCAAGAATTTGCAATTCATTTCTATATGAAAAACAAAGATTTATTGTTGAGTTAATCAATAAACAAGTGGATGGCCAATTGATAAAGGCGACTAAGAATCCAATCAACTCACATTTGCACAGACAAACCGTTTCGAAAGTTGATGTATTAAGAGCTGCAATCAATTATATCCAGATACTTGAAAAGATCTTGGACGAACTGAAAGCTGAACATTGCTCTGAAACATGGAATACTGATGCTTATCAGAGAAGTTCACTTAAACTCAAATGTAAGCAATCACAAGCTGATACACATCCGGTTAGTTGTTTCTGTTCGATCAGGCATTCTCAAGAACAATTTATGAACGAGTATCACAAACAGTTGTTGAGTGGTACAGTGATCAAAACTGGTAAGTTGGAATATTTAATAATAAATTTTGAAATGCTATTAGAAAGATATTACTGACTACTTATTTTATAATCACAATACAGTATAAATCTCGTTCATGACATTAGTTCATTGCACACACCATAGATATGAATCATACGTTTGAGTAATTCAATGCCATATTTCGTCAATAAATGACGTCAACAATGGAGCGACTATTACCGTGCGTATTTAAAAAACAGCTTTACATCAAAAGTGTAACAGGTTAACTGGATTTACACACCTAATAGTAATCCAATGCAGCAAAATCTACAGGGAAGCACAACAACGTTCAATCACTTAATTAACATGTCAGTTAACTTGGCAATAGTGCATAATAGTTATTCGGTCACACTAACAGATAAATTCAAGTTGAATTTAGTCAATGAAGTACAAACTTCTATCGTTACTACGATATCTTAATTCATTACAAAGGTGAACGTTCGATTAAGCATGTTGATATAATGTGTTGAACCACACTAAGAGCGTGTTCTATCTGTACTGGCATTGAAGTACAGACAGGAGGACTGCTTTCATTTACAGAAATTAAATTTTCAGCATGTTCAGTGCAAACAATTAACATGTTTTGAAATTTATCATATAAAATATGAAAGTTGATAGTGTGGGTTGACGTACATTTCCGAAAAACGTACTAATGACGGCGTATTGACGGCAATGAGGGTTGAGACATGGTAACTGATTTAACAGATTATCGCTAGCGTCCCATCCATTTGATACGATTCTAAAAGAAAAGACACATTAGGAGAAACATCTCCTATACAGTCACATGGAACTAGCCCATTCATAAATATTTCCTGACAGGAATATCGAGTGCAAATTATCAATATTACAGAGACTAAAGAACAAGATATGACATAACAGTTCCCTACAGTCTCTTCGGTTAACTAACTACGAGGCAGCTGATTGATTCATTTACAAAATACTCTATCGCACATTGTCGTTCACAATTCACAATTATTTATAACACACTGCCAAACTATCAACTTCATTTGTTCCAGGTACTTTTTATTCACAAAAATGGAAAATAAACGATAGTAGCGAAATTGAATCTCTTTGATAAACATATGTTTCAGAACTCGAAATCCACAGTGTGAAAATATATTCAATAATCATTTGTGATTGTAGGGAATATTTACTAGATAGTTAGTTAGATATTCACTAAACTGACTGATGCAGAAACAAATTGAAAACCAAAAAAAAACGTTTTGATAACTAGTGTCACATCACTTCACTGTGTGCATTTCAGTTGTGCCTATTGTCTGATACACTGATGAAAACATTTTAACCAGTTTGATTCACTTCTTGCGAAAACTAAAGTCAACTAAGACATGTGCAGTCAAATCAAAACATTACTATTCTTCTTTCAAACACAAATGATATCATTCATGTATTTATTGTTTTACAAAATCTCATTGAAAATTGAACACATGTTCAAAACAAAAACAATGATCAAATTCCAATTGATCAACATAACCTCGTTAGTACTTGACAAAATAAATTTGAGACAAGACAAGTTATTATACTTCACATACAATAACATTCATTGTGATAATAGTAATAGGTACGTAATGTGAAGGGGGGAATGTCTGAATTGTGAAAAGAACAAATCGGATAAAATTCTTTACAACATGAATTCAAATGACTGACCATAGCAACTTTAATAATGAGATGATATGATATCAATTGGAGTGAAGTAGAAGGTGTGATTCAACCAAATATTCGGCTTATTTCAGTCATCCGATTTGTAAACTTTACCTTATAAAAACACTTCCAGATAGATATAACTTGTGCTATTTATTAGATAGGAATGTTTGTGATTATATAATAATACACGCGAGTTATATCAACTCTTAAACCAATTCAGACTATAGTACCTGCAATCATTTCTGAGTTTCAACATAGACTACTCAATAGTGGAGATGCATTCCTAGTGATTATTGTGCTGTGTTCTGTGGTTTAACCTGGTCACTAACACATGCTAATGCCATGAGTGAATAGCTTTAAGAGAAGCAGAAAACCAACAGTGTATAGGAAGCTTTATTGTTGAGAGTAGAATAATCATGTTTAAAGCTGATGCATAATCGTAGACTAACAATTTGGGAGGAAAATGTGTGTGACTTGACAGATAATTCAATGATTAACCTCTGAATTATGGTCCAATCACACTTCCACCTGTGACTGTAATGTCTTGGGATGACACGTGATCCATGAGACTTGCCCGAGATATGAAGCTAGATCATATGATGAATAGACGGCAAAAAGTTGTCTATTAGTCAGTTCAGTTACTGCTACTTGAAATGTCTTAATTGTGACTGATCTAATTGTCAGTTGGTAGCATTGAATTTGTCAAAGTTATTATGACACCTTTCACTGATTTCATACTGACGAAAAGATGGTGGTGGCTAGTTTAGAGCTCTGTTTGACTTGTTATATGTATATCTGTCACATATCACCTAGTAACTACATGTGTGAATAAACAATTTCAAGATATATACGAAAATATTAGTCCAGTGTTTCCTACTGACTACCTCTAACCACCTACGATTTCAGAATAATAAACGTCATTTTGAGTCATGTAGAATAGTGATCACATTGCAATTAGATCCACAAAAATCTGTCATAATTATTGAACTAAACAAATATAACATTGATCGTTACTTAATGATCAGGAAATCAAATTTTTCCATCTATCAGTCTGTGATACTTAGTAGAGATAGAATTCTGTAGATCAAATCGCTACATGCTCACCAGATTGTGCAAATTGACTTCACAGTGTGGAAATATGAAACATGGATTTGAGGTCTCATGTCAATTGTCTTCAACCGCTCAGTGTCAAACCATGTTCTCTACGATATCAACTCACACTTAAATGATCATAATACAGCTTCATTGGTACAATCCCATCAGCACTGGGAATCAAACATCACCTTGTCATTACTGTGTGAACAAATATTACAACTATTCTATTATTCAAATTTGTCCGATTCAGTTTGATTCAGTAGTTGCTTATCTATTGATCAATTTGATCATTTTCCTTTTAACATAGGTGCCAATTCCTCACCCATATTTGTTAGCTGGCAACGCGAATTCCAAACCAGAACGACCAATCTAACATACAGTGAACCACCATTCAATTTTTTTCACTCCGGACTACATTCACATGATATCGAAATGTCTGAACTTAGTGCAGTCACAATAGGCCAGTCAAACAACATGGATTATTCGAAATGCCAAAGAATGCAACATTCTCAACATATAATTCGATGCAAGCAAACATGGTGGCCACAAATACAAAATCTACACACTTCTGTAAATAACTCGAGGACAGTGATTCAGTTTACCGATTCATATGACAATAAATGAATATATTTTAGAAAACAAATACAAATGATATCCCCTAATTCAATCGTTTTCGTTTTTTTTGTATGTAACATGTTTAACCAGAAGTCGCTGAAGGGCGGATAGGATTTTAAATCACAACACACAAGGTTAGCTTAACACCTCACACCAAGAGAGAACACGAACTGGTAGCCACGCCACTCTTTTATTTAAAAATTAAAATACTTGGGTTTTGTACAGAAAAGGTTGGTAGTGTACCAAAGTCATACGGGTCATCCTGTAAGTTCAGAGCACTCAGGGCTTGTACTTCAGCTTCCAAAGCGACCTGAAATAGAAAGAAAACAGAACGGGTTAGCAACATCAAACATGGTGATTTTAACTCCGTTACATATGTTCAATTTGAATCTAGCGTTTTCCTATGAATAGACCGATTAGATCAAAATATTTCAGACAAAAATATACACTTGATTTAATTAATCAGTGAACTCAAAACTGTTATGTAACAGACTAGACACTCTGCTCGCTCCTTTCCACTTGAACATGGACACAAATGAATTGTACATTATCAATTAAATTCCATAGACTGAAGTTATTTTTCCCTCAACAACTATTCAGTAGTATTTATTATGCTGTACGAGTTGATGATTTACATACAGAGAATAAGTAAAGAATTTGAGAACATTAGAAATAATTAAGGTTGATGAAATATATATATCGTTAGGTTCTCTGAACTGTGAACTGATTTCACTATGGGATTATAGGAAATTATCACAAAAAAACATAAAATAAGACAAACACAGCACATCACAGAATCTTGCGAATCGTTACGGTATGGATAGAAATATCAATAACTCATCATTGTTGTTAGAAACGCCATCGTAAAAGCACAGCTTTCTGTAAGTAGGATTTTACAGGTGACGAGATCGATAAACAATAAAAATCATTCTTAATTATTAAATGCACTAATTCTAAAAGAATCCAACGATTAGAATAAGCTTCGATGGGGTGAAGTGTCTCCACTGATTGTCGGTCCTAATTTTAATTTTGAGAAAATTGTATTCGTTGTTTTAGAAAACATCCAGTGATTCCGTTCAATAAATAGTGGTTCAGTTTGTATACATAGAATTTATTTGTCCTATAAAAACAGCAACTCGTTCAACTGTTTCTTGAATTCTTAATTTCTCATTATTCTCTATGAAGGTTGACGTAAATCAGTTTGTCATGAATTAGCATAGTACAACATTATTAATTCATTGTGTCAATGGAGTTCATATCGAATTGTGAATCTCCACACAAGAGGTTAGGCTTTCCCAATACTATTCCTGTCACTTTATGAAAGGATTTCGATCAAATCATTTAGATCAGTTGATTCAACCTGACAACTATGTCATTTGACTAGTTAAACAAGTATCATCTATCTACAAGCTCATACATACATAGATCATTAGAAAATGAGATAACTTGTGACAGATGTTAACTGTTACCCGCCTCAATGTCAAAACTTAGCCGAAAACCAATGCAAAGTGATGGGATTAATTCATCGTACAATGTTGCTGCAATATTGCATACCCATTCGGAAATAAGAACAAATGAAGTGAAGTCATATGAAAAGGTTAATAACACCTACTAATAACTAAAAATACCATTTCATGCCTTTGGCATTAAAAATCTTGTAGTGATTTAGGTTAAAAAAATATACAACATTTAGGATGTGTGTATACAAATGATCACATTTTATATGTACATTCATACGTTGAATGGTAGTAACTGTGATATTAGGATGTCTTTGTTTCTGAGTGGATTGATTCAAACTACTATGAAACATTTTGAAGGACTTTTTCTAATGTTCCTGTTTAATAAAAACAAACTTTAAAATAATAACTAATTCATCATAGTTTATTATACTGTTTCGAGGTCTTGAAATCTGAATCAACTGATAGAATTATTGAGGCAGATGATTGTTGATGAAGTTGATTGACTAATCTATCTTCTCCCTATATTTATATCGTTGGCTCATTGTTGAGTCCGAAACAGAGTGGTATCTTATTCAACAAACTATTGAAAATAACACTATGTACATAAAAATGTTTCAGTTGATGTTCTCAATAAATGTTTAGGCATGTCTATGCCTTGAATAGTTTCATCCATTCATGGGTAGAAGAAAATTTCATTGGAACTTGTTCAAAAACTTCTGCATTATGTCCATAGAAATGACCAAAAACGGTGGCTTCGTCTTTGAACAAATTCAGTCAGCAGTTACAATCTTATGGTTTATTTCAAGTTCATGATATTATAGCTTCTAGTCGCTGATTGTTCTATATCAAACAGATAAATTTCTTATACATCCAAATGTACAACTTTATGAATTAAAATAATTTTACTAAGTGATGGAGAATCGAATAATAGCGCATAGGAAAACTGACAATAATGTAAAGAGTTGAAATTCATACAAAATGATAATTCCACTTTAATTACCTTTCATGCTACCTAATTTTGCATTTTAATTTTGTCTACTTAAATTAATAACAGTAGATCAGTGTAGATCACTAAAATAAATATCCTGACAAAAATAATTAACACATATGGAGATGGTCGGATTCAAACAAGTTTACAATCATGATAAGAAACGAACTGACAGTTAAAATATTTCTTCATTCAGTTCTTTTCTTCTCAATATCTAACTAGGGATTCTAATTCAACAACGATAGTATTACTAAA